TATAAAAAAAAAAACGAAACTTTTAGAGAATCAGAGTTTTTGATAAAAAGGCTGAAATTCGAGAGACAAAAAAAATCTCATCCCTGTATAAAGGCCAACCAGTTTTATCCCAAGGAAATGATTTTTAGAGAAACTTCAGAGGGAGGAATAAGGACTTCAATAATTTCGCTCCGTGGAAAATTAAATTCCTCATAAAAATATTTTAACTTGTGCAAAAAAAAAATTTCAGTGGAAATTAGCGGGAAAAATCTGAAAAAAAAAAGCGGAAATCCGCGAAAGAATCTCATCCCTGCAAAAGACAAGTGAAACATCGCAAATTGTCTACCTACATTTGTTTAGAAATCAAAGGAGATATTTTTCATTTGTTACTAACATGAAGCCAAACTTTTAATTGAAAAACAAATTCATTATTCACATTAATTTTATAGGTAATTTTGATACATCTCAAGGAACCCTCAGGTTTCAGGTTTATGACCATCAGGTTTCAAAACGCTGATGCCCTGTGGCAGAATTTTTTTCGGGTTTTCTGCAACTAACTTCCCTAGAACTAATATTTTACTTTATGATACTTTTAATTACAGCAATTACTAATTTAAGATAACAGAAATGTTGTGTTCATAGAAGAAAGTATAGAACAAAAATTTTTAATTTTAAAAGTAATATTTTTTAATTCTAATATTATAGGAGATATTCTCGCAGTTTATAGGCGGAAAAATGCACTAATTATTTCCTCTTTCGAATTTTGTAAATCATTACACAAATTAAAATTCGTACATAATTTAATGATAAATAATTAAAATTTGCACATAAATTAAAAATCGCAAAATCTGTGCAGTAACTCCCAAAAAAAAGGATCACGAATCATGCGAATAGGACTCTTTAAAAAATAGATACTCAAGTGTGTCACGGGTAAGTCCCTCAAGTGTATGTAAAATATGATGTTCTTCAAAGAAAAAAAAATTCTGCAAAAAAATAAATAAAAGTAAAATAAAAACTAAAAAAAATTTTTTTTGAAAAATTATGCAAAGGAAAACCAAAAAATTTCCCCTTCCCAAATGAAAAATCTTTCAACAAAAAATTTAACGTTCTGCGACAATTCCGCCACGGGGGCTGATGTATAATAATAATCTTGCCACTTACCCGAACCACTGTGAATGCTCCCTTCTCTAACAAAGTTCTTGCAACTACTGTTGTTGTCATTTACGTAATTAAAGGGCATGGGTAAGAATCCTGGATTCTGTGGAATGTAGCTACCAGAATAAGGCAACTGATTTCCCCATGGGGAAGGACCAGAAGGAGGAGGCAAAGGTCCCAAAGTGTCACGATCAGCTTCACTCACAGAATCATCTTCATTTAGTTTCAGTGATGCAATATCTGGTTAAAAAAAGAACAACTATTAACAAATGCTATAAAAACAAATATAATTTATAATGTTATAGAAACATGTCCAAGATACATTCTGGTATTAAGCATTTCCAAATTTATAAAGATTTCGGAGAGTGACAGTACTTTTTTCGATCATGCATATGTAACATAATTAAGAACTTAACTGAAAGCACAAGAAATAAATCTTAACTATTTAACTGAAATGCTTTCTGGATAAGTTTGTGATCTTGGGAAGAAATAAAGTGACTGACATTTTTAAGCTCATGAGATAATCAAGATTGAAATCCTATCTTTTTTTGTGCGGAATTTTTTTACTAGTTCACAGCTTCTAAATTAATCAGAGTTTAAGATAAAAATATACATTGAGAGAGTAGCAAATTCGTCTACACATCAACTTTGTAAAAATTGACATTTGCATCATATTTCTCAAGCACTAATACAAGTATATATGCCATACCCAACTCTTTAGTGAATAACATTGGACAAAATGATTTACTGTCTGTTAAAGCGATTAAGTCCTATCCATAACTGATTCCCAGTCAACATTTTCTGTAAGTTCCGTGTTGAAACACTTTTTAAAATATAACAATCTGCAAGAAATTAACCCCTTAACTGCCGCGGGCGTATATATACGTCTCGGCCAGACGAAGCGTTAACTGCCGCAGGCGTATATATACGCTTTCCCGAAGTACGATGCTTTGCATTGCGCTGCTATAAATAGAACTACACCCCCTATTTCAGAATGCAGTAAAATGGCCTTGGAAGTGTTTGCTTCGCGATTGTATTACTAATTTCGGAGGAGGGGGAATGGGAAAAGGATGTTATGGAAAAGTGATATCGTATTAATCGCTTGTGTGTATTTATTTGAGTAAGATCGGGTTTATTCTTTTTTCGCTTTTGTTTCCCGTATGTATTTGGTGCTTTTTATTCTTTCCATCAACGTCTTCAAAGAAAAATGCATCGCGAAAATGTGCTGTTTGTTCAAGAAAAAAAATTCGTCGTGAATCCCGCTATCAGTGCGATGAATGTGATGTTGGTTTATGTGTCCAACCATGTTTCAGGATTTATCATACAACAGCTAAGTTTTAACATCTTTTATATTGTATTTTTATTATTTAATTTAAATTTTGTATTTTCTTTCTTTCCTTTTTCTTGTCTTGTAAAATTAAACTGTTTTTAAATTGCAAAGCGTGCATCATTTTCCCCCACCAAAACACCGTGTAAGAAAGTGCACTTGAGCGAAAAACGGTGGCACTGGGGAGTGAATCACGTTAATTTTACTCGGCAGTTAAGGGGTTAAGAACTACTTGTTTTTTAATCCAAACCCTTTTTTAGCAACCACTAATATTAAAACAAAAGTACATTTTTCACTTATTCACTATCTACAATCACAATTTGTTGTCTCACTTATATTTGCAACTGAAATTTGTGGCGGTAGAAAAGGCCCATCAGTTAAAAGGAAAAAATAATAAAAATTGAAAAGTTAAAGAAATAATACCTCGATATATATGAATATAAACATTGACTTACTAGAAGTTATATCTCCGAAGGTATAATAACATTGTTCAGAGAATGTTATTTTATTAACAGTATGACGAATGTAACCAGCTTTTAATAGAAGAGTAGCATATTTTTTTGCATCTTTTCGATCTTGAAAACCTTGGACGTGAGTAAACAGCCAGTCAACAACATCAGCACCTATAAAATTCAACAAAAAGCTATTTTAACATCATAAAAAATAACTATCATTCAAGTGGTCCAGTTTCATTTCTGGTATTTACAAAAAGGAGTTTTTAATAAGATTTTGCAATTAATATTTATTTAAAAAAAAGAAACATGGACTTCTTAGAGATGCAGCTTTAATTTTTATTGAATTAATCAGACCATTAATTTCACATAACTTTTGAGAAAGAATAAAAAGCAACATCATTGCACGAACCGTTTCATTAATTTATATAACTTTTATGATTGTCAAATATAATTTTATTAGTTTATTCTGTAAAAACATTTGTAAATTCTTGTTTATTATGTACAAAGCGTACTGGCTTTAAATTAAATTATTTCATTCAAATGAGACCAATTTGAAGTTTGGGAGATGATAATTGATAGATTTTTAAAGAATTTAAAAAACATTTTTTCGATAGCAATCAAACAGAATTTTTTTTTTTTGGCTAAACAGTGAAATTCTAAATATAACATACAAATTTATAAACATTCATAAAAATAATACACTTATTATTAGTAAATCTGAAATATTTTACTAAACATAATTTTTAACTTTGCTTACCAATAAATGAGTTAGGGATAAGAAGTTTCAGCCACATACGATCTTTAACTTCTAATCCAGATTCTGGATTTGTCATAGCTTTAACAATTGATAACATATCAGATTCCACAGTCAAAGAATTTTCTTGAAATGGTCCTGCATTGCAAAATTATCATTTAGACAATTATAATTAAAGATTAGTAAAAAGCAGATGGAAAAACTGGTTTTAATAACTCACTATCTGATTCTGGTATGGAGCTTGTAATTGATGAACTTGTTGATGTCAGAGTACTAACTGAGGGAGGCCGCAGTGGATAATCAGCAGCTATAAATAAAAGGTTAATTTTAGAAACATGCTAAAAAAACAAATTGCAACAAAATTTTGAATTTTATAACAATCATTGAACAGTTGACCCAACTAAGGGTTTAAGACTACCAATGTTCAACTCCGTAGCCTTGTAATTTTGAGCCAGATCAAGAAGACAAAGCAACTCCTGGATCAAGTATTGGGAGAAATTTGCCTTTATGGAGGACTTTTTGATGGAACTAACCCACATTTGCGTTACATGGATAAGAAAATCATGAAAAACCTCCCACGGTTGGCTTGACGACAACATGACTCTAACCCATGACCCGTCTACCACCGAGGATATTTTACGCTAGCACTGTGGTCAGTGCCTGCCGTGTGTGGAAATTCAAATCAACAAGTCATTGCTGGGATTGAACCCCGATTCACCTCACGGTGAGGAGAGTGCTCTGTCCCCTGAATGACTACGGCTCAATATTTTGAATTGAAATTATAACTTATTTTATGCTTATATGATGCGGTACACAATAACAACTAACTTGTTTACTAATAATAGTATGTCCTTCTTAGGCACTAAAGCTGGTTACCGGCCAAGGCCGCCTAAGTCAGTTTTATCCCATTAGATCTATTTGATGCTATATATTTCTCCAACTATCAACAACCAAGTCCTTTAACTGCTTCTCTAGTTTACCCAACCATCTTGTTCTAGGTCTTTTTCTTTTTCCCTCTGGTGTTTGGAAGGTTATTTTTTTAACAGGATTTTCATTGCCGTATCGAAATACATTTCCTAGCCACCTTATTAAAGAAATCTTGATCATTTTTACCATGTAAGGTTCTCTGTATTTTGATTGTAATTCATGGTTGTAACGAGTTCTTCGGATTCCGTTTTCTCTTACTGCATCAAAAATTTTATAATTATTTAATTTTAATAAAATAAATATTTTTCTCTCAAAATGTCATCAGTTTCTCTTTGTCTGCTTCCTTAATTGCCTATCAATTGCTGCCATATGAAATTTTTGGTTTCACTAGCGTGTTGTACAACTGTATTTTTCCCCACAACTTAAGCATTTGGTTTTATTAGAGCTTTAGATATTTTATTGGACTGAGATAGAATAAGATGGGAGTAAAACAAAACATAAATCTTACTGCCTCAAAACTTTGTGTTCTAGAAAACTGTGAAAATATTCCTTGATTATACACAGGAGTATTCTCATTAGATAAAATTACTCCAAAATATAATCACCTCTATTGTTTTTTTTCTTCATTTCAATGAAAATAGTGATAAGATTGCATATAAAGTAATTTAAACAATAAAATAAAAGTTAATATTTTGAGGAAACAGAAGCCCCTTCATTATTACCTTAAAAATAATCATAAGAGTTGATATTAAGACATTTAAAAATGATGCACCAGAAGATAATTTTTTCACTTGAGTCAGTGTTGTATTATTAATTTTTTTTAAAAAAATAATGTCAATGAATAATTTACAGTTTATCTTTTAAGTACCTACTTAAATAGTTTTTATGTAAAAATAAATGTCTACCACTTATTTTTACATAATTATTTAAACTAAAATATTTTGGCTTAAAAACAATTATATTTTTTCTTACATGTATAAAGCAAATCTTTAAAAAAAAAAATGGGGAATGGTAATTAACTTTTTCAGCTTATTCAGAAAAGGGATTTAATATGCAGGCAACAATTTTAAGAGAAAATTTTGTCCCTTATCACGACTTAAAAGAATACAAAAATTATTCAGAGGAAAATAAATACTTTTTTTTAAAGAGTAACCCTTCTAAAAGAGGATCAGTATAGGGGAAAAAAACTTGATTTTGCTCCAATTAATCATTATAAATAATTAGAAATAGTAAAGAACACAATATAAATATTATAATATATATATATAGACATAAATTTCTTGAACACAACGGGAAAGAAAGTCTTAATTAATCTCTTGAGCTGGCAATGAAGAATTTAAATATAAGTGTATAAGCGGTCATAAGAATTAAATTTCTTTTCTCGTGTGGATAACAGAAGTTGAAACAAACTCAGCTATAAGTTGGGAAGAATTGAAAGGTAAAACGAAAATAATTTATTTCAACAAAGTGTTTTACATAATGTTTTTATCATACTTATGCAGGTTCAAACATAATTTAGAGCTACATTTTAATAGATTAACCAGATTTCAGACATGAACAATTTTATGTTGCCCTCTCAAGAGTTTGGTCATTTGACAGTTTTACTCTAATAGCTTCAAGTCCGGAAATTTATAACAGTGTTTTTAAAAAAATCTTTAAAAGGCATTGTTATTTAAAAGCATAATGTTTAATTTCTGCAAATTTTTCCATTGCTTGCCATTTTTTTCCAATTAAAAATTGTTTTATTTGAACAACTTGAGAAATCTTTTTTTATTTTTTAAAGAAGAATTAGTTTTAGAGATTTTAATTACTGATCTAAATTCTTCAGATTTTTTGCTAAAACATATTCAAAATGGGTTTGGGTATAACTTAGGAGTAAGCAAGGTTTGCAGAGCAAACCAAATAAGAATGCAGAGAAATCTTCGTGGGTTGGGTACCAGTCGTGAGAAGCCTTCTAGAATAATATATATTTTAAACATTTTATTCCACATAAGTCAACAAATGAATGTGGTTTAAATCCAAATTCTTTGGCTTGTGGCATATACAATCGGATTTGACTGACTGATCTCTTATAACATTTGTAAAAACAGCAGTTTAAAATAAAACTTTATCAATGTTTGATTACTAGATTAAAAAAAAAAATCAAAGTAATAATAATAATGAGGAAAATATGTAAATTTACCTCTAGTTGCTTCAATATGAGCAACCCAAGCACCAGGATCAATTGGACGAACTGGTTCTGTTCTTGGTATTGTAAAATAACCAGTAGGATTTGGATCCCAACATTTAGCTACCACAAGTTTTATAGGACTAAAGGGGGAAAAAAGAATAAAAATGCAAAAAATATAGATAAAAAGAATGCATGTGAATAAAAATATAATATAATAAACTAAAATAATTATTACATGTACTGTGTATAAGCCAACTTTCCAAACTCCACACATTTTACGAAAATCAGAGTAATAAAGTTAAATATTCATTAGTTGTGAAATATTGATGCATTATAAACAAGATAGATACGAATAACTCTATTAATTTACCTTTTCAAAGACTATTTCTAATACATTGTATACAATTTATTTTGAATTTTCTCTATATTTCAATAAATATTTGCAGAAAATGATTTTTGGTTGTGTAAGCCAATTTATTTGATTTATATTTTGTTAGACACATTTTAAAAACAGAATGGGTCTTTGAAGTGACTAATTACGAGGGATGCCAGTTTTTCGCTACCATTTGAGTAACAGCACAATAACACTATTAGTTTCTCCTTCCACAATTTACTGCAATGACAATATTCACCTTTCACTTCACATAACTTTTCTGGAAGGTAAAAAAAAAAATAAACTGGTCTTATGACCATAATTTTTTTAAAAGTAAAGATGGTAATACCTCATTCCTCCAGCATCACTTCATCATTGCTTGCTGATAACTTGCATACTGAGCGATATGATAAATTATGTTACTTTTTCAATTTATCAATTCAATCATATAATGCTATAAATCTTTCCATGGAAGAATGTGCTTCAATAAAACATTCAACCAAAAAAATTTTTAAATTCTGCATATAAGGGAGAAGTTTATATATTTAACTTTTTTAGCATCTTTTCCTAAAATGTTTATTTTGTATGTGTGACTACTAGCATTACATGAGAATTATGATCTAAGAGTTGGGAGAAAGAATATTCAAAATGTCAGTATTTCAGAGAAATAGTATTAGAGGGTGTTTTAAATATCATGATTTTTTTTTCAGTATTGATATACGAAATAAAAAAGGTGACTAAGAAAAAAACAAAAAACAATAAAAGCGAGAAATATACATTCATGAGTAACTTTACATGAGTTCTACTGCATGTATATCAAAAAGTTCAAAACTTAGTAAAAAAGTATGGTCTCATAAGATTTTTTACCCAGGCTTTTGTACAGCTTCTCTCAAAACTCTAACTGCATCATCGTTACTCATATTTTCAAAATTTATATCGTTTACTTGAAGTATCATATCTCCAGGCTCAATTCTTCCATCCAGTGCAACAGCTCCACTGAAAATTAAGTATTGTTTAATGAAAGTTCTACTGCAAAAGATTTTTTTATGAATAATTTCATAAAAATGGCATCAGAAACCTCACCCTTTCATTATTGAGCCAACATAAATGCCACCATCACCACCTTTGTTTGATTGTCCAACGATACTAATACCAAGGAAATTTACAGTGTCTGAAAAAATAAATTGCAAATTTAATCACTTACATTACGTTTATACACAACTATAAATCAACAATATTATATATTTGAAAATTTTATAAATCTTATAAAAATACATTCATATAAGTATATTAATTTTAAACTAATAGGTATAGTTAAGGCATTCATAAAGTTATAAATATGTTCATAATATAGATTTATGTCAGTATTTTAAGATAAATAGTAACTTCTTACCTAGATTTAAGGTAACAGTTATAATATTCAAGGACATAGTTGAATCAGTGATGCTGCTGATGGATGAGGTCTGCAAAATATATTTTAAAAAGCCCAATGATGTTACAAATATTAAAATGTTATAAAAAAAAAAGTAAAGAAAGAATTAGGTCTAATAAAAAACCTTTTAATTGTTGCTTCATAATAAAAACAATGATACAAATCAGTTTTTTTAAAAAAACAAATAGCTAAATAGAAAACAAAACAAAAATCGATCCTCATTTTTGAAAGAAAATTTTAACACCAGAAAATTCGATAAATTTTTTTACATAATCATATTTATTAGAAAAATGTGATGATAAAAGAATAACATTCATTATAAATGTCTTTTTCCATTTTTTAATAAAAAAAAAAGGAAAAAAAAAAGAGAAACAGAAAATGAAATGTTTTTATTTTTTAAAATAAATCTTTAATGTGATAAAAGAAATTCACAGCTTTTTTGTTACCAGCTATCTGTCTTCCGCACTGGTAAAAAGTAACAATAAAAGAATAAAATCTATTATAAAATGTTCCATTAAAATGCCATGCTATATTAATAATAATAATAAAAAAAAATTAAAAAAAAAAAAACAGTAAAAATGAAACAACGAAATCTTTTTCTCAATTCTTAAAACAAAAGTGTTGAATATAATATGTTAGCCTAAATAAAATAATCAAGTTTTATTTCTTAAAATCTCGCTCCCTTCCAGAACAATTCCCTACTTCAAAAAAGTTTTCTCACTGCATTATCTATTTAGAAATCAATTAATTTTGGTTTTTTATTGTTTTCTTATAAATGTTGAACTCTTGTATTAGATGTATAAAAACTCTCGCCATTCTTGTTATGTTTCGATAAAGTTGCTTAAGTTACGCCAATAAGAGCATATTGTTTAGTCTACATAGAAATTGTGGCATTTCTCACCAAAAAAGTTCTCCCTAAATAATTTGAAAAATGTTGGTAGTAATTATATTGCCACAAGCTCCTTCAATTGTACTAAATCTAGTTACACCACTTCAGCATGGTGCAGCAAAGAAATTATTTTTTTGACATGTTCCAAGATAATTCACAATGTAGCAGAAATTTTTGAATAAAGCATAAAGAAATTTTACTCTTATATTATAGCACTTTTCAAATTGTTAAAATTTTCAAACAAGTTTGGGTTCATTATCAGTAATTTAAAAGTAACATGCATTAAATTAAAATGGAGTACATAAGTAAATTATGAACTTTTGATTTATTGTGAAAGTGCCCTAATACATTTTGATGAGGAGTTTACTTCCTTTTCGTCATATTCTGATCTTATAAACTAGTAGTTCTATTAACAATTTTTATAATTGAAAAAGACATATTTTAAAATTTTCAATAGTAAGAAATCTGGTTAAGTTTTTAGCAACTATGGTTTTACATCTTTTATAATCATTGAGATTCTTTAAAATAATGGCAGTAAATGTGATTTTTACATTTTACACTACGGTTAACACATTTTAAGAACATTTAAAAAATATTTCAAATATGGCATTTAACCTTTGATCTATGAGCATATTTAGAAAAAAATAGTTTGAAAATTCAAAAACCACTGTTTATAATATACTTCATGCAAATACTATACATGTACATTTCAAACTATGAGGTCAATCAGTTTTTAAATTATGTAAGTTGAACAATTATAATTTATTTACAAACAGAAATAAAAATTTGTCAATCAGTCAAAATTATTTTGAAGCAGCTTTTTCTAACAAAGTTATAGAAATAGTGTCTTATAGAAATATTTTAAGACTATAATTTTCTACAAGAGCATTTTTTACAGTTAAAATATGCTCAAATTTAATATTAAAACTTTCTTTCCAAATAACTTGCAACTAAATTTGAAAATTTTTCATAAGAAATAAGACTTTTAAAACTCATACATGGTAGTAATAATTTTCATCATTAAGGTTAAGATTTTTACTTTTTATACTATATTTTTTTTAAAAAATAGTCATTATTTTTATTTTGATATAAGTCAATATAAAAAATATTTTAATGCATCTAAATTAATAATGTTACATTACCCGACTCATAGGAGGCATTCTATGCCTACGCCGCCTTCTTCGATGTCTAGGATGAATTCGAGAAACACTACTTTCTTCTGTAGTAGTAGATATTCTAAAAATAACAAAAAATAAGTATAATTTATTAAAAAAATCTTTAATTATATGCCTTTAAATTTTCTTTAGTAATAAATACATATCTTTGTAATACTGTTTAATACAATACAAAATAAATTAATAGATTATATTGGTTTGAGAGCAAATTTTAGTGTTAAATTTTAAGTTTCAAAAAATAAATAAAAAATATGAAATAAAGACAAATATAAATTAAATTAAATAAAAATATTTATATACAGACAACTCCAAAAAAATATTCTATGAATAATTCAAAATTTAAGTAGTAATTTAAATATACACTACAAAGTAAAAATTGCTTACACAAGTAATAAATAGATTTAAAAGGCTGTAGCATTTATTAAAAAGTAAATTAAAACTATTTAAACATGCTTTTGCATACATATTAATTTCTTAAATATTTCCAGAATTTTTTTTCTTAACAAAGAAATTTAATTATTAACATATAAAAATGATTTTCTTTTTTTAATGTTTAAGCATCTGGTACATTTGATATGAGACTAAAGTGCATCATAAAACAAAAAAATTCAATTATAACAGTGAAATAATACCTGCTAGTTGTTTCCTCTTCAGAATCTAAAAAACTAGTACTCTCTATATCACTGGTCATCATTGAGGAAGACTCATACCCATGACCACTTCTATGTCTAGGATGAGCATGGGGGTGATTAGATTTGCTATGGCCATTGATTCTAGTTGATGGGCATCCACATGGAACTAAAAGAAACACATTAGATTGAAACACTTGAGAGACACAGATTTTTTGCTTCAGTGATTTCGGATTAGCCAAAGGAAATTGTGCAATTAGTATCTTAATTTACCAATCTAAACATTACCATACACTATTATTAATATTTTAATTTAAAACGAAAATTAACCATTAACTAATATCAAAATATATGAATTTTAGTAAAATGAAAAATATACATATTGAAAAGGAATAAATAGATGGAAATTAAAAATAATTAGTTAAACATTTCTTTTTTAGCACTACAAATACATAAGGAATTTTCACTAAATTATTAATAAACATTATTTAATCTTTAAAGACATAGTTTAAGAATTATTAATGGCCCCAATTCCTTGTTAATTGCCTTAAAAATAAATCTCAAACTTGAACATAATCCCTCATTTATATATCAGGAAAAACTCAGCATAACTTTAAAAAAATTATGTGAACACAAAGAAATTGATCATGGAAATATACAGAAGAAGGGAATAAATACTAACAGTTTTCTTAATTTCTTTAAAAATACATAATTTCCATAAAAAGTGTCCAAATGTTTAAATGATATTTCAATATTTTATGGAACTTTTCAAGATTTTTCAATAAAATATATTTTTTACTTCATGATATTTTTAAAAAACAGCTCAATTGTTTAAAAGTTTCCCTAGAGATGCACAAGGTTGTTTACAAGTACTTCTATAAGAGGAACATATGAACATGATAAAAAAAAAAATATATATGTTTAAAATAAAAAAATCTTTAACACAGAGATAAGGAAATAGTGAATTTAACACAAAGATATTGAAGCCAACACTATAAATGTAAGTTGTGCACCATTCTCACTAAATATTTAGTAACTTATTCTAATTTGCTTCAGTAAATTTTAATGAAAATTCAATGCACATTATATTAATCTAATTTAGCAGTACAAGACAGTAAAGAGACTACTTATGATGTATTTCCAAATACAGATGGTTATGACAATATCATTTTGCTGAATTTAAGTCATGACAAAAAACATTGGTACAGTAAAACAATGCAGAACTGTAATAGCTTGAAGAAATAACTTTAGAAACAAGCAATTGAGAAGAAGAACTTTAGAAACGAGCTGTTACAAATATAATCTCTTTGAATTATCACTGTATTATAATTTTCAGGAGAGCTGTATTATCTTTTTTTTCTCTACCTGATCTGTAACAATTTCAGCAAGAAAGCTATACTGAGAAAAACTTTTATGAAGAGGACCAAAAGCTTAACATAGAAAAGCTTGATCTTACGTTTTCAATGGTATAAGAGTGATATCATTGTTGTTGCAGAGTTAGGAACTTCACAAATTAAAATTCTTTTCATCTGGTATTAGTTGTTAGCCAATCATAAGAATGAACCATTATATATCACTTACACTAGTGAGTGTAACTAATGTAAAAAAAGAAGGAAGGTTAATAAAAATACTATGGGGGGGGGGGAGGCTCATGTTTACTGTCCACACCAGCCCCAGATGCTCCGATCACGAAACAATCTCTATTTAAGAAATTTTCCATTTTAGATCAATCTACTGCTTTTAACTAATCTAGAGTACAAAACATGAAATCAAAACAAGGCAAGTTACTAAAAGTTATCAAAATAAAAAAGTATGACTAAAATTTTTTTTTACCATGATCATCATGAAAGTGCTTGTCCCTGTGCTTGATGGGGCGATGCATGTGAGAATGGAGATCTAAATAAATGAATAAAAAATTTATTTAATGCTCTTCTGAAAATCAAAAGAAAGCTTATATTTTGAAATAGAAAAGTTTTACCTTTTCTGGAACTAATGACGGACTCAGTTTCTGTACACGTATCCCCTAAGTCTCGATGGTCTATTACAGGAGCACTGAAAAAATTTATTCACTTAGAACATTTTTAAAGTCAAACGATTTCCCAATTATCTGAGAGCTAGAGTTCATTTTTAATTTGGAAAAAAAAAAAAAAAAAAAAAAAAAAAAAAAAAAAAAAAAAAAAAAANAAAAAAAAAAAAAAAAAAAAAAAAAAAAAAAAAAAAAAAAAAAAAAATAGCACAGGAAAAATGAGAAATATTAAAAATATAAGATTATTGAAAGAAATTTGTAACTTCTAATTATTTTTTGCTTAAATGCAAATAAATAACAGTCCCAGATATAATAATCTTTTATAATTTCCCAGAAAAAGAAACTATATTAAGTTGAAAAGTTATTAAAGCACTATATTAATTTGTTTCACAAAATAGAAGTTTAATTTAAAGCAAAGGATAATGCAATAAAATTTTTCTTTTATCTCTTCTGTACCAAAACACTCAAGAAATGACAAACTGAAGTCAATAAAATTAGAATCTTATCATTATTAACAGTGTGATAATAGAGCAATCAGTTTCTTTATTATTTGCTTTTAACTTTTACTACTTTTTTAATTACTTTTTATTGTTTTCGTAGCAGGGAAAAATTGTGTTTTCTTTTCCCTTCCTTGTTTTCCTACAAAACAAAATTATGGAAACTGGTTCAGTTTGTGCAACACATGCAAGATCATCAAATGTTTAATATCAATCTTTTCAAAGAGTCGATAAATAAATAAAGCATAGAAAACAGTGCTTTGACATGCCAGCTTGTGCATTCTAACATGTTAAATATTCCTAAAATCATAAAGGACGCCCAAGAAATAAGATGTGACACGTCCTCTTATGGGACAAAAAATTTCTTATTCTATTTTAATCAATATATGAAACATTTTTAATGTGAATATTAATGGACAGAAATTGAAAATTCATATTTTAAATAGTAACTCACTTTTTATAAGAAGGGCCCAGAAACATGGAATTCCTGAATTTCAAGCGAATCCAAAACTTACGAATTTCAACGCAAAATTTTTGATTTATTTAAATATTTTTTTGACCAGGAGATTTAAATGTAATTGTAAACAAATAATAACAATAAAACAGTAATTCCTAAAGGAAGTGAATTTTCATCACACATATTTTCTGGAGTTAAATGGAATCAAACACCAGCTTAAAACATTTAAAATGCTATTTTATTTAACACTTACTGATAAAAAAAATAAATGAAAAAAAACCCACTTATTTCAGAGCATTCTCTTCAAAAACAATATTTACATGCATTTTATAGAAACAAACAATAATTTTTATAACTACTCCCTAGGGATAAAGGGAGAGTAGAAAACTTTGACTGTAGGAAGTTCTTTTAAATACATTATTGTAAGAAAACAATTGGACTACATAGAATAGTTATGTTTCAAAATGTATCTATACGGATCCAAAGTTAGAAGTATTATAAATGCAATTTAAGTTTCACTAAAATAAAACTAAAAGATTTTCAAAGCAAAAAAAATTTTTTTTTACTTAGCTCAACTAAAATAGACAAAAATATTTCAATTTTATATAAATATTTTAATAATAATTAAAATATCTTTAAATCAGAAAATAATAAGGATAAGTCAGATTTTAAAATTAACAATTAATTTATTAAATCAATCAATTAGGCAATATCAATTAGAAATTAACTTACTGAAAAGAGGGAGGACGACTGTCCCCTATTCCAACTGTTCTTTCAAGTGGTAATCTTAATTCTGATCTTTGAGACATAGTGTCAGTACACTGAGACGTACTATCAGATAAACTACTCCCTTCTGCAGTAACCAACTGAAACAAATTTTTTTATTTTTTATTATGGTAATAACATTAAAAAAATACGAAATAAGAGTTTGAGGTTAATATATTTACCCAGGATACAACTCGTCCCCCACAACATGGCAACTTTGCATTTTCATCGCTGATTTCCTCCTTCACAACACTGGAATCATAATATTTGTCATAATGCAGTATTAGTTTAAAAATGTCAAGCATTAATTATTACGCATTTTTTTGTTAAATTACAAGATAGTAAACTTCTGGCAAGATTTGTTATTGCATAACTATTTTGCCATAGTTTTCAAAGTAATAGAAATCTTTTGTTGAGGCATAATTAAAAAACAAAGTTTGAGTTATTGCTGTAATAGGAAGCATTGATAATGAACAATAACCATTGACTTCTTGAAAAAATTAGATACTAAAAAAAATAGATAAATGCTCTTCGTAATTTACAAAAGCTCCAGTACTTCAATAGCTGGCACAAAAATCTATAGAATATGTTGCATTTATGTTATCGGAATGAGCTAAAATAATTTCACTTTCTCAGAAAGTAATTCATATATTAAACTTTAACACAGCATATAATATTGATAAGCTGACGCTAAATGAAAATGTACATAATAATTCATAATTACAGGGCTGCCACAGAAGAAAATGAACAAAATAGTTGTTTTCAGTACACTAAAGCATGAAAATAGCTGTCGAAAACTATGAAAATAGTTGCCTAAATAAGAAATTTTTCTCTGAAAAATATGACTAAAATTTTATTAAATCACTTAATTATCATATACTATATCCATTTGGTCAAGTTGGTGGCCAATAGGATACTTTTTACATAAAAGCCAAAAATAATTGCAAATAGCCACATTTTAGTCGCCTGTGGCAATTGTGATATTTAGTTCAAATCACAAATTCCCGATTTTTTGAGGCTAGTTCTCTTTAAACTACCAATTGAATCAATTTTAAAGTAGGAAAAAAGTTGAAATCAAATCTGTATATTAAAAGATTTTAAAGTCCTCCTTTCCCCTATTTTTTGTTCTAAGAATAGAAAAAAAAATGAACTAAAAATATCTGACATAAAATAACTATTTACCCAAAATCATCATCCATGGATTTAAAGAAGAACTTATAATTTGGTCTATTTAACACATTTTTGAAGTCACCCAATGTAACTCGGTCAGGAGGCACAGATAACTTCACTAAATATGGAGTATCTTCATCATCAATATGATAGATAATCTTAGTCTCCTCTGCCATAGTGAATAAGCTTCTAAAAATGTAAAATAAAGGTTAAAATAGTTACAAGAAATTAATTACTAAATTTGAAACAAAGTTCACTAAAGTTTTTATACTAAAATCAAGTTAATTATTCTTACACTAACATAAAATCCATCTCTTGAAACTTCTGAAATCATTTGTATTTATTGGTTCAATTTATTATTATTGATTACATTTACTATGATGAACTATATATTAACTGAATTTCTTAGAATGGAGTGAAACAAAAAGTAAATAATTAATAGATCAGCATTAACATCAAATAATCATGTACCAAACTTGAAGACGTATGTATGACACACGATAATTGGAGAAAAAAAAATTTTAAATTTTTTTTTGTAATTATTCATTGCTCTTCTTTGTGAGTTTACATTAAATAATAAAATTTTTAGAAGTTTACTTCAACAAAAGAAAGATGAACTATAGTTATTATCATTCTGCGATGGAAATGATGCTGCCGATTACGTCTAACTCAAGATTGTCAAAATTTACCACTATCAAGCAATTTACTCAGACATTTGGCACATTGGATCGCAATTTAATTTTTATGTCTACAGAAACACATTTCAAAACAGTAACCATAAAAAAATCAAATATATAGCTTCAGATAATTTTTAAACTACTAATGTGGCGACATTCCCTCACATTGCTTACTTAACATTTTGAGACAACATCGATCAGATAAATAAAGAATATGCAATACATCTTAGTATGGAGTATAAAATCATCTGCTACACCTAAGAAAGGTATGGAGATCTCCACTAAATGGGTTGAAGGCTCTGTATGGCCAATTCACAAAAAAGATAAACTAGAATAAGAAAATTACAGAGGCATTACCTTACCGAAGATCACATTTAAAATATTCTCCAACATCTTATCCAATTGTCTTATGTCACAGAAATTATTGGATCACACCAATGTGAATTTATGAGAGGAAGATCCACTTTAGATCAAATACACACGTTTAGATTTTTTTGATTAATTTATACAGATTCTGGTGCATGTCGATGTCACTAAACAACATTGGTGGAACAAAACAGAATATAATTGAAACCTTTGCTCCTCTTGAGAAAGTCACTATAGACTTAACAATCAACGAAACAAAATATTTCAATCTCAATCATTGTAGCATAATGTATAAGATGGCTTGGACACTTACAAAGATTAAAAAGTCCCAAATACAGTAGGGAACTGATTATCCGGAACGATCGGGACCATCGCTATTCCAGATAACTGATCTTTCCGGTTTTCTGAATCGCTACAAAAAGCCGTTTTTTTTTACTGTTAAACCCAACTAAAAAAAACAAAATTTGGAAATAATCTTAAAAAGAAGAAAAAACGATGAAGTAACACACTAATGATTATTTCCAAAATGATGGTAAGGTTAACATCTTTCAAAATAGAAAGAAAAATCCTATGAGAAAAAAGATTATTTATTTATTTTTTTTTAAAAATGGCGGGAAAATTTATCGAATTTCGTTTCGGTTTTCTGATTTCCGGATAACGGGTTCTGTACTGTACTGTTAGAAAACTGATTTTTAGCACCAGGAAAAGAGGTCACCCAACCATGAGGTGGTTGAACAAAGTAGAAAAAAAATCTTGGTGTGTTAGGTATCAGAAGTAGGCGGACAGTAGCCTCTTTTTAGATATAGGCAGCGATTGTGGAAGCTGACTAGGACGGCCTTTGCCAGTTCCAGGCTATAGCAGATGCTCCTTGCAGATTGCAGAGCAACTTGCTCCGGTTTGTAAAAAATATATATATTCTAGTGGTTACAAAGTATGAGTTATTTTTAGTTCAGTATTTTTCATTTTAAGTTATTTTATTCACCACTACATATCAAAATATATGAAGGGCAACTTTAGTGCAATTATTTCATGTTGACAGTTTTAAAGATCAGGCGTAATGATCCTTATTCGAAAGTTTTACTATTTAATTCACAACCAATTTATTAAGTTTTTTGAAGAGAATGGAACAGTTGGAAGCCCTACTACAATGCCAAAAGGAGAAGCAATAAAATTCTGTTTCAGAGCGGTAAGCTAGCAAACAGCACTGGTGTTATATTTTAAAAAAAAAAAAAAAAATAGTCCATAATTTAATTTATAACAGTGCTTTATGTTAAAACACATGAGAAATATTTATTTTTTAAATGTCTCCCCCAAACAGATTGGTGAAATTTTTTGAATGATTTTTAGTATTAAAAATTTCCCCATGCAGCAACTGTCATAAAATTTAAGACTGACATAACTTTTCTTTTATTATAATGGATTGGACAACAATTAATAAAATTAAATCTTCAATTAAAGAAAAAAGTACTTTACAAAAATCCCTTGAGTCTGAAATAATTAGGAATGAAAAGTAGAGGCCTGAGCAAGTTTTAATACCAAGTGCCTTAAGTGTAATACATGTATCTGAATAAAATTAGTATTGCTTACAATTATTGGACTCCAAAATAATTTGGTCAGCTGAAGATTTCTTTAGTGGATTTCATTTGAAGTTTTACAATCTACAAAGAAATAAAACAAATGAACTTAGTTTGATATATGTATCTTCGTGATACAATTTGGAAGAAAAACACACTCACAAATATGTTAAACAAACATACAGTTGTTTTGGTTCTGATATGAAGAATTTTTACAATTGTTCTTATTTATATTTAGCCAAAACAGAAACTTGCAGTTCAATATTCTACTTATTACTAAACATTTAAGAAATTAAACAGCTAACAATTTTCAATATCAATTATATTCCTTCTACAAGGGAAAGAGTGAACCAAATTTTTTAAAAGAAAGCAACAGGTAGTATTTAGAGCTTTCAAAGCTTGGAATGAATTAAGTTTTGTTATTAAATGATAAGGGAGAATTCTGTGATATAAAGCTAGTGAAAAGTACAAACATATTTCAAATATATTTAGAAATAATAATTGTACTTTAATCACTCGAAATTGATGCAAAACTCTACTATAAAAAAGATACAAATTTGAAAAAAAGTTCACACACCAAATAAAACTTTTTAAAAAATGAATGATACAAGCTTATAAGCAAAAATTTTTTTCAAAGGAAAGATTGAAAAAAGTGTTAACTGTATCAAATCATGAAAAAATAAGGTCGGGGGGGGGGGGGGAGTTAAGAGGGTATAAGTTACAAAACATCTATTTTATCCCTTTAAGCTGAGATAATTTATTTAATATTTTTAGAGACTGAGATTGCAACAAGCATTTTCCTTCAGTTCTCGAAACTGATAAAAAAAATTTGAATGATAGCAAACTATCTGCTTATGATCAACTTATAAAGTATGTTAGTTTAAGCTTTTTTCTAATATCATTAAACTGTCAAAAACTTTTAACTTTAGTTAAAACTGTTAGAGGGACTTCTAATGAACAGATCTACTTATAATTTTAAGAATAAATCTCAAAATTCTCTTTCATAAGATTATCTTCTGAGGGGGGCATATGGTTAATAATTGGGTATATGGTTAGACTTAGCTAAGTGCTGTATAACAGGGATATCTTTTTTAATTCTGCATTAGCTTTAATAAGCATTTAATGCTCAATATTTTATAATAAAATAGATAAAATTAATTTACTTGTTTGATTATAGCCATAGTAATTCCAATGCTGCAAACATTTCTTTCAAATTTTATTTTTTAAAGAGAAGAATGATAAAGGGAATAACAATAAAACAGACGTAATATAATTAAAAATATTACCCAAATAATATAATGGTACAACTTAATGAGCATATTGAAGTATATAGATAAGATTTCATGCAAGTTTCTGTTTTCCTATGGCAGTTTTTTCATGGAAAACAAAACAATTTTCTTAAAGTAACTAAATTCTATAAAAATACATGCCTGCTATAAATAGTAAAACACTTTAAATTACCTCTATAGATATTATTTATATACTCTCATTTATATTCCAAATAAACCAAAAACTAATACACTTTTCTTGATTTATGACGAAATTATGTAGAGTTCAGCAAAATATATTGCATCTGTAGTGAAATAAATTTTGATAGCCAGGAGTATTAACCTTTTAATTTAAGAATACAAAAATATTTATTTTTCGAAATTTTCTTTAAATATAATCATAACACATTTAAGAGAATTTTCACTTCTAAAACAATTACGTATATTTTCTAGTAAAATATATACTAATTTTAGAACTTTACACCACTTTGGGGTAAAGTAGGTATATCAAAATATGTTGAAAACCAAACAAATACAATAGATAAGGTATGCTTCAAATTTCTATATAGTGCAGTGGCAGAATAATAGCCAAGTCTTGGCAACTTCCCGGCAGCGGCCTATGAGAAACATCTCAGGAAGGGACCAACTCAAAAGGTATAACTCATAGCCACCCCTGAGAAAACATCTACACTTTTATTTTAAAACTTAAATTTGCATGTTTAAAATTTATTTGGCACCTTGGTGACTGTAGTTGATGCGACAGATATATCCCATATTTAATCCATATGAATCCGATGTATATAAAATGCAGCAAAATTTTCAGTAAAATAAATTTAATGGTTTGGTCTTTTAGCCTTCTGCAAAAGCTTTTAGTACCCACTTTACCCGATTGTAAAATTCTATTATGTGTATAAATTCTGTACTAAAATTTCATCACATCAAGCACTTAAAAATATATTTATTTTTTAAACATTTACTCTGATAAATTAAAAAACTTATTAACTAAAATTATAAATATGACTATTGAGGTAAATAATATATAATCCAAGGTTGGCATTATGTCAGGAAGAAACCTATTTATTCCAGAAAACCAGAAGAAACTGGACAAACTTTAAACTTTGTGTAACCATTTATTTAAATTTGATTATTAAAATTAGATTTTCTACTTAACAGTATTGCATTTGAATATAAATAATAGTGTGCTATTTATTAGTAACTGTGTATACAATACATGATTCATAGTCCTGTTCATGACATTTGTATATTCAGTAGAATTAAAAAATTTGTTCAATATTTTAACAGTTCATTTAATTAAATAATTAGGTTTTATTTTACTCAATTGCGTGTGTCAAGAATATTTCACTTTCTGAAGAAAGCCATTTACTCTAGTTTTCTTTTCAATTTTTGATATTTAGTTTTAATTTATTTAGAATTAATAATAAATAATTTTGAAATTGATACTATTATTTAAACACAAACAAGATTACAAAAACTGGGTTCATATTTTTATTTAAAAAAAGTTTCTTTCAATTGAATTCGAAGAAACCTATTTCTACTGGAGCAGTTTTATCCACTGAGGTGGAAATTTATGATACAATCTCACAAATTATGCATTCAATCTCTCATAATATCAAAACTAAAGCAGGAATAACCTTTTAAAAAAAAAGGTAAAATACTTGTAAACTACAATATTTCAGAGAGTTGTGTCTAAAGTATTAGGTTCTCACAAACCAGGATAGTGATTATAGCTAATTACAATATATCTAACGCTGTAAAAGATTTAGGATAAATAACTACTGTCGTCAACGATCATATTTTTTCAGTCATAAAAATCAATTCATAACTGAAGCAAATTATATGTCAACCATTATTTACTTTCTAAATTAAAAACAGTACACATAAATGGACGAGGTTTCGTTTCTGGCCTACTAATCCAGAATGCCCGAAAACATACCGCACTCACATTAGTTTTTCAAGTTCAAGAGCAGATATCAAGCTATATTAATAATTATACATAGCTTTCTTTTCAAAACTGCATGTTTTATAAACAATTATACATCAATTTATTTTTATATCTATTTATAAACTCTTCTTTTGACAGCTTTTTAATTTATCATGTCGACTACTACAACAACAGCCAAGTGACGTCACAAACTACTCACGGATAGTATTGCCAATCATAATTTGTTTATTTAATATTAAAATCAAAAAGTAATACAGTTTACAAATATGCTGATTTTTACAGCATTACAATATATTTTATTTGTTTTCAGTCCAAAAATGAATTACAAAATCCATTTTCTAACATGGACGTTGATTATGTCGTTTAATTGAAAAATTTTTTACTCCATTTATCGGAAATATTCCTTTAGTTTTGCAGAAATAGGCAGTTTAATGCGCTTTGGGGAAATGGACAGCAAAAAATAAAATAAATAGGCATAAAATATCTGGTCATGACATGTTTAGAGAAAAGTATTTATTATATACGAAATAATTATTCAAGTTAAAGACACTATATTATTTGTGTGATGCAAAATAAAACTTCTCGGGAAAGTTGTTCGGAAATACTGAGTACATTTTTGGTAATATAAATCGATATTTAGCAGTAAACTATGAAAAAGTATTTCTTTAGTTTAAAAAATAAAGAATAATATTGATAGAAAAAAAACTCTTTGGGGATATTTCCGTATCTTGATCTGTTGTGCAAAATACAATCGCTAAGTTGCAAAATAGATTTTAAACTTGCAAATTAAAAAAACAAACAAAAACATGCTATGAATTGTACGTTTCGAGTTGGTCCCTTTCTGCGATGTTTTTTTTTTTTTTTAGTTTCTTGCGGGCCACTGCCCAGAAGCTATTAAGACTTGGCGACTATTCTGCCATAGATCACGATACGGAAATTTCCCCGATATTTCCAATTAGCATTTAATTTTGGATAATTTAGAAACATTTGTGATATACAACGAAAAATGTATTTTGCATATTTGGACAGTTAAAAATGTAGCATTTAACTGCTTTTCTGTGTCAGTACTTGTTCGCTGCAACTACTTTTAAAGGTCATAGTTCCGCATTGTGATCTGTTGCACCAACTACAAAACCAAGGCGCCAAATAGATTTTAAACTTGCAAATTATTTTAAAGGCAACTCGCAGAGGTTTGCCCGGATGTGACCACAAGTTATACTCTTTGAGTTGCTCCCCTTCAGGGATGTTTTTATTTAGTTTCTTGCAACCGCTGTCTGGAAGTTGCCAAGACTTGCCATCAATTCTGCTACTGATCACAATATATAAATCTTTCTCCCTTCTTTTTTTAAAAAAAATGAAGTTACTTGACCAGAGCTGGCTACCAGTCATACCCTTCATTTATGACAAAACAATATGATTAAATACAACAAAAAATATTTCTCATGTTAGTTTTTGCAATTAATTTTTGGCTGAAAAGCAGGGGCTGACAGTTTGAGATCTTCATTTGGTTCGAAATTGTGCATTTCTGGTGTAAGTAAAGCTTACTATCAAACATATTTATTATAAACACTTCCTTTTTTTATGTTTGATAGTGTTTGAATTTCTACAAAGCATATTTGATACCATACAAATTTTGATAACAGATCTCATATTTGCCAACTTTCCCTATTTTTTTTTAAAAGGCACTCTTTTTCTACCAAAATTTATAAAATTCTCTGAAAGGAGACATTGTTTTTTTTTAAAAAAAAATCTTTATTAAATTTTTTGAAAATAAGAATCAATTTTACATGAAATGGTTTAATCATTTATGTAATAGGTTTAATCAATTATGTTATAGGTTTCTATTTTATTCCTCAATTATCTTTGAAAAATTTAAAGGTTGTTTTGGAGAGAAAATATTTAACATTAAAAAATTGTTTGTGGAATAAAAAATTCACAAATAAATGCACAACTTAATATATTCCCAAGCCGCCCTCTTGATGACAATCGTTCTCCAGGTTTTTAACCTTAAGGATTCCAAAATTTCTTTTAACTGCATCTATCCATAACAGTTTGGGTCATTCTCTTTTTCTTTGTTCCTGCAGCTTTGGCAAAACAAGCTTCGATAGGGTTTAAACCATGCATTGTGAGACCATGTGCGACTAAGTTCAGTCTATTAATCGTGAAAATTTTTATCATATCTGGGTTTTTAAATTTATAAATTTATGTATTCTATCATCTTCTTCAAAAGTCTTTTCTTTTAACTCCTCCTAAATTAGATCTTAAAATCTCTCTCTCGAAAATACTAAAAAAAGATTCATCAGATCTTGTCAATGTCTAAATCTCAGCCGTAGACCAAAATAGGTCGAATAAGAGATAATATATAACCAAAATTCAGTGTTTCTGCTAATTAAATATGACTTAAAAATATTTCTTAGTTCATAAAAGGCTTTATTAGCAAACATTATTCTGTTTTATATTTCTGGTAAGATACTATTTTGATAACTAATTTCTGATCCTAAGTATTTGAAGCTAGCGAATGGTTAAAAAGTGTAAACACATAAGGAAATATTGGATGTATCATGGCAAATATTACTCAAAGAAAGCTTATAGAGTTAGGTGGGGTATATAAAATGAAGCTTTTTCTAAAGAAAGCTCTAAAACGAAACCATTAAATTTATTTTCGGGAAAATTTTGATGCATTTTATGTACATTGGATTCATATAGATTAAATATGAAGGATAACTTATCTATTTTGTTTGTTTTGTTTCTTACATGTTTTGTTTAAAAAAAACATGTTTTGATAAACCCACTTTAACCCAAAGTGGGGTAAAGTGTGTTTAGTTCTAAAATTAGTATATATTTCACTAGAAAACATATTTAATTATTGTTTTAGAAATAAAAATGCCCTTAAATAAATGCATCATGATTATATTTAAAAAAATAAATGCTGAAAACTTAATTTTTTCCCTTCATATTATTATATTAAAGAATTAATGTCCATGTTAAGGCCGGGTTAGCCTGGTCGGTAGGGCGCTGGGCCTATGTTCGCGGGTTCGAACCCCGCTGACCGAAGACTCCCCATGTAGTGAAGTGACTGATGCATGTTAAATCATTCGAATCGCAAAAGTCCCCCATGTTCCCATAACAAATCAATGCCTCTGGGGGTACTGGATTGGAGATCGATCGTTCTCTGATTCAGGTTGAAATTACGATCTGTAGATGATGAATGGGTCTACCATATAAACGGGTGTTTTGTATGGTGTGGTAGAAGTCGAATTCTTGGCCATAGATGGCGCCACTGGAAAACAGGAACAATCGCACCCCCTCTGCCTAAACACGCATAAGTCAACAACAACAATGTCCATGTTTGTCAAAATTAGGTTTAACTATGGATACAATATATATTTTGCTGAACTCTACAGTTACACAATTCATCAAAAAGAAAGAAAGCTGTAATATTTTTTAATTTATTTGAAATATAAATAGGAATGTAAAATTAAATATCAATTGTGGCAATTAAAAGTGTTTTTATTATAGCAGACATGTATTGTTTTCCATGAAAACTGTCATATGAATGCGGATACTTACATGAAAACTCATCTGTATCTTTAAATATGCTCACTAAATTGTACCATTATACCTACTGTTTTGGCAATCTTTTTAATTGTATCTACATATATATGCTACATTGTTATTTCTTCCCCCTCCCTCATTCTTCTCTTTTAAAATTAAAATTTAAAAGAAATATTGTTTTCAGTGTTAATTACTTTGTAGGGCTATAATCAAACAAGTAAATTATTATTTTTTTTAGCTATTTCATTATAAAACATAAACCATTTCAGATACTTTCTAAAAATAACACAGAAGGGGAAAAAAAATATCCCTATCATATACAAACACTTAGCTAAGCCTTACCATATACTCACTTTTTCCCACCCTAGAAAATAATTCATAATAAATAGAATTTTGAAATTTGATCTTAAATTTCTATGCAGATCTGTTCTTTAGATGTCTCTCTACCAGTTAGAAGTAAAATTGATAGTTTTTTTTCCCCTCCAGTTTTTAATGACATTAAAAGAAAGGTCATTAACATCTTAAGCTAACATACTAGATCATAAACAGATACATAGTTTGTAAACATTAAATTTTTTATCAGTTTTTAAAATTTAAATAAAAATGCTTGCAAAAGTCTCGATAAATGTCTAAAAATATTGACCAAATTATCCCAATTTGAAAGAAAAAAATAGATGTTTTTTAACGTACAGCCACTTTACCCAACTTGATCCTATATTATTTTTTCTTGGTTTGTGTTATATGTAAAGCCTTTGCAGTCTTTTCAAAAACTTGAAAAATCCTCTCTAAAGCAGCAAAAGGTTGTGCAATGATAACAACAGCATAGGCTAAAATTTGAATAGATTTGAAGAAAATATTTCCTCTCAAGTTTACACCTGAATCTCTTAAAACCTTTTCTAAAACTAAAACAATGTTGAAAGTAGGCTTGAAAGGGAATCTCCCTGATGAACTTAATTTTGATCAGATAAACTTTCCAAGATTATGCTATTCTGATCTAAAATTAAAAAGGCATCATGGAAAAAAGAAATAAAGTTATTGCACTCTAGGAACAAGAATAGGAATCTGCTTACCTTTATTTGGCAAGGATCGTCAAATAGTAGCCCACAGACCATATGCAGATAAATTTTTTTAGTGACCTATCAAGACAGTCAGTAAAATTTACCATGAACAAAGTGTAGTTGGGGAGTACACAGGGAAATCATGGATAACTACAACTTTTTTTGTGAAATATAAAATCATATTTTTGCTGTTTTCAGTATGCTGTTAGGGGAATCTAAGCCAATAATCTCACGCTTGATTTAAAACTATTTTATTTTATAACTGTCTTTGAACAGGTGACCCAATTTTTTTGGATTTACGACTACTAATCGCCAACTCCTTTGCCTTATGATTTTTAATCCAATCTAGAAGACAGGGGAACTCCTGGATCAAAAATTGGGAGAAATTTTCCTTTGTGGAGAACTTTTTGATAGAACTAACCCGCATTTGCGTTACATGGAGAGGAAAACCTCCCATGGTTAGTCTGACAGCAAGGGGACTCTAACCCATGATTCGTCTACCGCTGAGGATATTTCACATCAGCACTGGGGTTGGTGCAAGTAGGATGCGGAATCAGGGCACCCTATTAAGTGGGCCAATGTTGCTCTCACAGTAAAGACAGATAGTACAAGGGAAAGAACATCCATGCCTCGTCCGGGATTCAGACCCAAAACCCTTCTGATGCAAGGCCAGTTCCCTGACTCCTACCCAGTCCAATTGGCAATATATTTAAAACCATGAATATTGTTTTCAATAAAATACCATAAATTTGTTTTAAATATTAGCTTTGCTGATAACTAACTGACTGTTGCAGGAGTTCTTTGTTGTTTATATGCTTTTGTTTCATTTTTAGACACTATTTATTTGATATTTTCTTTAAAATTTTTCTGTTAATTTTTTTAAATTGTTCCTTTTTAAATTTAGGTTGAAAACTCAGATAAAGACAAAATATCAGCACCAACTGAATCATTGGCTGATAGTATTAATGGAGAGATAGAAAGAAAAATATTTGGAAATAACATAGCTCCTTACGAGAAAAAATATTTTGCTCTCCTCCAACGATGTGAAATTTTAAAGCAAGTATGTGCTTCTTACTGATATTCTATACTATTCAAAATAATCAGCAAGTAACAATTTTATATCAACTTTTGTAACAAAAATTTCTTATCATGTTTTAAATACTGAGGAAGAAAAAAAAATCTTCTCAGGTTGTATCATCCTCCTACCTATCCTTCAAAGTGAACATATTTATTTTTAATATAATCAAGTTAAAATATTTTGGAAAGTAAAAAAAAAAAGGCATTTCTGTTCTAATTTATCACTAAAACTCGAATTATTCTTCCATAGTTGAAAAGAGTGTCAATGTCTTTTTTTTTTATTGCTTTCGACTTCCTCCCAAAAAAGTTGTCTAGGAAATATCTAAAAGCGAATTTGTCTGAGAAAGATTTTTCTTCTGCGCTGAAGAGGATTGTTACATTGAAAAAAGGTCAAACTACACTTAACCTCATAAAACTGATAACACATGTGACATAACTTAAGATTAATCATTAGTGCTAAAATATATACTTTTTAGTAATAAACTTCATAAATATGAAAAATTATGAATGAAACGAGTCAAACTATGATGTTTTTATGAGTTTTGCGAATGGTGGGTTGATAAGAAGTGGTCGGCAGCTTTCGAGCACTTAATCAGTTTTTATTTTTATACTCTCCTTTTCCCACAAGAAGTTTGACAAATGGCCAGTTCCAACATTTCCCATTCTTTACTTGGCTTAATAGTTATGAATTGCATAGCCAGAAATCTCTGTATTATTTCAATACCTCCAAAAAATATAAGCTTGCTTTAAAGCATAATTTTAATGTTAGCAAAATAATTTTTTTAATCACTTAAGTAGGATAATTAATATTAATGTAGAAAAACAGGGTTTTAAAAATTGAATTAAAAAAAAAAGCTAATTTAGAAAACAAAGGCCTGAATTGTTGTTTTCTATGCAATAAATGTTTTGGTGTTCATCTATGAATTTTTCTATTTTATTAATTTTCAAAAATTTATATGTATTTTTTTTATGTTAGAACAGTTCATTTCTCATATCCATTTTAAATGTTTATACATTTTAAGCTAAAATTCTTGTGCTCTTCAAAAATAATAATTCTGAAAGAATTACTTTGTTTTATTGTTTTTATGTGTCTTTTCTATATTTTCTTAATCATAATTGCAGATTTATAATTTAATACAGTAGTACAATTTACTTATTGAATTTTTCTATTTCAGAACAATGAAAAGCTTATTAATAGGATATATTATGTAAAGAAACTTCTAAGAAGAAGAAAAAAAGAAAGAAAGTATGATGAACTTTAAATATTGTTTTTATACTCCACTGGTTTGAATATTTTCATTATAATTGATTTAATTATTTCCCTATCTTTAGGTTTTTAATTGATCGCTTAGATGGCTATGGAGATGATTACAGAAGTGCTGCGGAATCAATCTACTCAGAAGTGAATATTAATTTCCTCCTTTTATTTGAAATACTGCAGATTCTCATTAATTTTGGAATAAGCATAAAATATTATATAGATAATCGACTCTTTTTACATGAAATAAAACTGATAGAGCATTGCGAGTTGATCTACTCTGGTCTTATAATCTAGTTGAATAGCACCCTGACTAGACATTTCTCAATTCGTAAATCAAACCCAAAGCAATACGAGCAGACCTGTTCTGGTCAAAGCCTGGGAATGAGAATGAACAAAGAGAATATATAATGAAAATATTCATTTTATTATACAATAAATTATTATATCATTAATATATAATAAAATATATCATTAATATATAATGAATATATCATTAATGTATAATAATATATAATGAATTTTATTATATCATTAATATATAATGAAAATATTAATTTTCTAAAAAAAGTGGGCGATGTTGAATCGGTTAAAGTTACATTGTGGAATCGGAAAAGGATTCAAATTAACAATAATATGTATTGTATAAAAAATAACATTTAAGGGATTAAGTCAAACAACATTAATTCTACAAATAAAACTTATCAATTACTACAGGGTGGCTATTAAATACTGTATCTCTCCAAAAAATGGGAATTAATTTTAATCTTTCTATAAAACAATTGCTTTCTCAGTAATCCTGTGAGTGGCACTTTCTATAAGTGCAGACAATTTTTGTTTAAAGCAAAATACTTAGAATCAATTTAAAGATGGAATAAAGAAGGTTGACAGTTAAACAGCTTTTCGATCACGTATTTTCGGGATGTAGAACTCTTTCAGCAATTAAAATCTTGCTTTTAATAGAACGTTTATATAGGGAACTATCAATCGATTATTAGATATTAATAGCTGTAAAGATCTATCTAGATCTGGTCGTCCACGCTCAGTTCCTGCTAAAGATTGCACTTAAAGAATTTGTGAAAAGATATGGTAAAATTCACAACGTTCTGTACTGTAATTAAAACTTTTCTAGAAAGAGCTAAATAGCGACAAATACATTGAATTGAGAAATATATTCCGTATTCACTACTATTGAACTTGAATACAACTCAAATCTCTTTTTAACTAAACTGCTTTAGCTCTTTTATTATGTTTGTGTTAATTTTTTCAACGTTTAATTTTCTAAGATAGGAAAACGTTTTGCATCAGATTTCATATTAACATAAGAAAGAAAAAGAAAAAAAAAGAAAAATTTGAATGTGTAGAAAATTTAATAGGAATTGTCGTTTCAAATTATTCATTAATTAAAATTATTTATATTCATAAGTAGCCCTTGCCCATTGAAGTTAATTTAGACATTTTCTTAAAGTTTTATTATTATAGATAAGAGTTTTTATATATTTAATTTTTACTTTAAAGTTCATTGAATTAGCTAACAAGAGAAAATGTGTGCTCTAAATTTTCCATTAAAGAAAATATATGATGCATACAGACTTGGATTTTAAAATAATGTATTTTTTGATGTAATTGGCTAAGTTTTTCTTGTGAAGTTATCCTTATAAAATTTTTTTTTATGCAAGATCTTTTAAATTTTTCCAAACCTGCTTTTATGCTGCAAAGTGTGTAAATACAAAAAAAAGAAACACCAGTTTTCATATCTTTAAGAAATATTTACTGTTCTTCTTCTTCAGCTAACATTATGGTCCTTGTTTATTTAGTTTTTTTTCTCAAATATTGCCGAAAGAGCACATCATGTACTCCGGTAATTACTTTCTATTATTTACAACTTACTAATTATTACTTTCAAACTAAAGAAATACATAAAAATCTGTTTGGTTCAGTTATTTGGGATAAAAAAAAATCTACAATTATTTAGCATAAATTATTTAAAAGCATAAAATATCATGCTAAGAAGTTAGGTATAAGATATAATCTTAAATATATATCTTGTATTTCCGTCTTCTAGTAGAATTTTGCCCTTTATTCGGCATATTAAATCTAATGCTCAAGGAAAAAAAATAAATAAAAAATCTCATTGATCTTGGGCTAGGGCCTTCAAATGCGAGCCAGATCTAGCATAGTATACAGATACTGAAATGTGCATAGTATACAGATTTCTTAGATGTTAGCTGATAAACGAAGTATTTTAAAAGTCATTAAGAATACTTTAAGCGTTAAGGGATAACCTTAACATTGCGTTTCATTTGAAGTGCATGTAGCATGCAAAAGTTGGCTGTCAAACATATTACTACTACAGCCATATTACTACACCACCAAATGAAGCTCTTCAAAACTAGGGTTATTACATCAATCTCATTCAACCCTTTCTTTGTTGTCAACTATTCAAATATAAACTGAATAGTTTTTAACCTGCTTTCATAAAGGGTTTGCTCAAAGATATGCTTATTTATCTTATACTGTATTTCAAACTGTAATTTTTTTTCTAGATTATTTGTGATAATACTCCACCTTCAACTCCACAGCATCATACTAAAGCAGATCCATCTCACGTGAAGCATGAAGTGGAATCTTAAACATACTTTATATTTTAAATTGTTTGTGTCTAAATCAGACTTAATACCTGTGTTATTATTTTCATGTTTTGTATAAATATCTAGTTTGTGTTTTTGTGTGTTATTTCATTTCTGCTAATTTGTAATTATATGTTTGAGCAATTTTTTTTTGAAAATTGCATCACATAAAATGTCAACAGTTTTAATATTTTCTATACATAATTTGTACCCTAAAAAATATTAATTGTGTTAGTTAACCAGCCTAACCCAGGGTTAAAAGGCAATTTTTAAAAAAAAAAATTATTGTTGCCACATATGGCGCAAATAGTGGAAAAAAATAATTGAATTAATTAAAATATGTTTTCTAACCCACTAAAGATGTTGAATTTGGATTGTTTTGATTTCATTTTCTTCCGGAGATTTAAAATATAAAGTTAAAGATGACGTAAACCATTTTTATGAAAATTGTTTCAAATCAAGTTACTATCATGCACTTGGTTTACTTCCTATTAAAATTATTTTAACCCTCAAAGCAAGAAAGACTAACAGAACAAATGCAAACATTCAGTTTGCAAACTACAAACTGTTTGCGAAAAATAGCTGTTGACATATTCAAGAATTGAAAAAAAAAAGAGAACATAGAATTTTACTCCTATCTCAAAACTTACTTGTATTTTTAACAATTTTTGTCTTATCTTTTGCAGTTCTATTTTCAGTTGCAGTAATTTTTTTCACACTGTCCTCTTTTTTTAAAAAACTGCTTCCATATTAAAACATGATTGTGATATTTTTAAAAAATCCTATATTTATGACTTGAAACATTTTTTTTTTTCAAAACGAAAAAATCTTCACTTTATATAGCTCTAACAGTAAGATGGACATTTTGTAAATTTTTTTGAAACTGATTTCTTATAAAATTGTCATTGTAATATTCTTCAAAATCATTCATAAAGAAATTTTTCAAAAAAAAATTCTTATTTTGTCCAAAACTTTCTAGCACTAATGCATATCTATTAACTAGCTGTCTATAGTGACTAGCTGGTTCACATTTTTAAGTAAATAGAATTTCGAGCATCTCAAAACTTACATATTAAACTTGCAAGTATAAACTCTTATTGCATAAGTGTTTTTTTTTTTTTTTAATCATTCTTGATATACAGCTTATTATAGTGAATGTACTGAAACTCTCTTCTTTTTATTTTTGTATTGACACAACTCAGAAATCAAAGTAACTCGCATTTTATGAAAGTTATATCATGAATCATTATTATATCATATTTATGAAAGTTAAGATTATATATTTTAATTAACATTAAAACAAAGTAATCAGATTTTGCTCTGCACGCAAAAAAACAACAACACAAAAATGTTTTTCAGATAGCTTTACGGTAACAAGATTTCAGACAAATGTTCTCTATTTTCAATCAAATTAGTTTTTGCTGTCAAAAATTTTTTTTTTATCATTCTTGATATACAGCTTAATAAATGCACTGAACCTATCTTCCTATTTATGCATTTTTTAGCACAATTCAGAAATCAAAGTAACAGTTTCAGAGTAAAACCATCTTTATGAAAGTTATTAAAATAATATATTTTAATTAAAAATGCAATTAAAATACTCAGAATTTGCATTACATGCAAAGAAAAATCACAAAAATGTTTTTTGGATAACTTAATGGTAACAAGATTTAACTAAAAATTCACCATCTCCAATCAAATTAATTGTTATGATCAAACATTTTTTTATTATCCTTGATAGACAGCCATTTTTTAGTGAATGTATTAAAAAGCTTTACTCCTTATTTTTGTAATTTTAAAGTCTGCACAGAAATCAAAGTAAATCCTAATTTAAGCATCGAGTAAATTCCTCTTTAGAAAAGACTTAGAGTGAAAATAATCAGAATTTCCGTTACGCGCTAATGAAAACTTTTCAATGGCAGGCTGATGATGATAAAATTTTATTACAGTAATTCTTAATATTTTTCAACTCAAGTGAAGGTTTAACTACTGAAATATCTTTATCTCTTACTCAATCTATATATATCTTGTTTTTATTAAAAGATGGCTACCGAAACGGGATGCCATCCCCTCTGCAGAGGATCAAAGTTGTGATGGCATGTTATTGGATAATCCTCAGGGATGTTTCCTAGACCGTCGCCAATAGCCCATTGTGCAACTCTAGTGCCACATAAATAAAACTAAAATACTGTTAAAAGATCCTGAACTATACTGAAACTCTTTTCTGTAAAGAAGGACTATAACAAAAATCATTCGTCGATCAAACTGATTTTTTACATTGGGGCTTTAAAGTTGAGAAGCCAAGAAAATTTCTGCCTTTTTGAAGGAACAAAGCTAAAACTTTTGAACAAGTTTTCATTTTGAAACGGGCTGTAAATCATCCTGCTCGATATTTTTTTTTTTACTAGAAGTTTAACAATTGATAATGCTCGATCTGAAAAATGAATAATAATTTTTTTTATTTCATATTACCAGGCCAATTTTCTACTCACCTTCTTAATTTTGAGCTGCTAATTCCAGTAGTATTTTTGCGTAGCAATGAAAAATTTAACATAAAGCAAAAATAGTACGAAAACATTCACAAAAGAAGCTAAACTTTCAAACAAATTTAAATTTCAAAAACAAAAAGTGCAGATTTCAATAAAAAAAAAGGGCCATTTCAGCGTGAGGAATGAAATTATTGCCAAGCTGGCATTAAAATAATGTAACCCTAGAGCAAAACGAACATTTAATCAGAACGTCTTTTCTGGAGTGGCATTGTAAGCGCAAATGAAAATTATAAAGATTTGTTTTCTTAAAAATGACCTCGAACTTTATACACAATTATAACAATCATTCAAATTTATTTTCGAAAGTGAACTAGCTCGTCATTCCAGAACAATTGGAAAACTTTCTCAAAAAATGACTATTCTGCACTATGTATATTGAAAAGAATCTACTTATGGCTGCACCTGGAATACAGATAAGTGCTTCTGCATCATTATTTATTTAACCAAATTATTTGTAAAGCTTACAAAGCTTTACATAATTATATTGTTCTGAAACAAATTTCACTGTTCTAAATGTCCAGTAATTCGTTCTGAGTTGTTGAGAATGTTTATTTATTTTTTTAAGATTTTCAAATGAATATTTCATTTTACTTGATTAATTTCAAATTTATTTCTTTTATTTTAATTTTATTTAAATCATTGTATGCAAATATTTAGTAATTTTTTTATTTTTAGACTTAGCACAATGACCGAAATTTTAGGTGTTCAGTTTCCTGTTTATAACAGATCAGATATTACTTTATGGTTAATTGATTTGCTTTAGAAAAACTTAAAGCAATTACAGAATCTGTAATTGCTTTAAGTCTTATGTTGTCCCGAATTTTCCATATGTAGCTTCCTTAATTAGCGATATTCTTATGAAACCCGATGCAACTGGTCCATACGAAAGACTAAAGGAATATCTTTTATAGCGTTTTGGGGATTCTTCCCAGCAAGAGATTCAACGGCTCTTGTCCTGTGAATTAGTTTTCTATAAAGCCATCAGATTTATTACATTATATGAAGCGCCATGCTCAATCGTTTAACGTTTCAAATGAACTTATGCCGGACTTGACGCTACAGCGATTGCCGTCATCCGTCCAATCACTATCAACAACGCTTTCTGATATAACTCTCGACAAAGCTGCTGAAATTTCGGATCGAATTTTGGAGAAAAAAATTTAAAAAATGTTTTTTTTTTTATCCTACCTCGATCCAATTATCAGTTACGAAATCAGATGCAAAAGCGTACTTTCTCTAAACATACTTTTTTTTGGACGAATTTGGAATTCTGACCCCCAAAATATGGTCCCAGTAGTTAGGCCAAGAGAGCCGGTCAAAGTTTGAACCCTTTAATATTAATTTTACTTTTTGCGTATTTTGCCATATCTCGAGAAATTTTTGATTGAATTGAAAATGAATAAAATTTGTTTAGCCACGGATAATTCCATGCAAAAAATAAATTTTAGTGAGTATTTTTTTTATTATTTTATTTAATTATAGTCGAAAGACTTTTGAATTGTAATACAGTTTTTTACATCATTTTAAATAATGCAATTTTAACGGACAAAACGCCGACGAACCATTAAGATTGAGGCCTAGAAGGTGAAGATCCGATCACTAGATCAAAATTTATTCAGGGGGATCCGTTTTCTATTTTGCTAACTGTACAATACATAATAACTAAAAGGCCTCCTTCTGTTGCAAAGCCATCACGTAGGTTAGCTCCTCATAGGGTAAAAACTGCTAAATCAATTTGAAAATGTGAAGCAGTTAGGACATATAATACCATCCAAGTAACTATATTTCACCCCTTCATATGGTAACCAAAAAAGCATAGTTTGAATGATGATCAGTTGGTGATTACCGAGCTTTGAATGTACAAAAAATTTAAGGTAAATATCCAATTCCTTTTCATCAAATATCCGATTCCAATTTTACTGCTTATTTACATGACTCTAAGATATTCAGTCGAATTTTTTTTTCTAATAACGGCAGGCACTGAACTTTCGTTCTTCGCCTTGGAAGATGCCGGAAGTGTTGCTCATTTATCGTTACCCAGAGGGCACCTGTGAACCAAAGTCACGGAGGCGAGTAACATTACCCACGCCATACTGCAACAAATACACGTTCGTAGGGTGGGCCACACTCATACATTAACACATCAGAAGATAACACAGAGAGAGAGAGAGAAACATCCATGCCCAGAACGGGATTCGAACCCGCAGCCATTGGCTTCACGCTAACCATTCGGCCACCTGGCCGGCTATTTAGTCGAATTGACCTTGTTAAAGCCTATCATCAGATTCCCATAAATCTTGGAGACGTTCACAATACCGCAATATGCACCCCATTCGGCTTGTATAAGAGTTTGAGAATGCAATTTGGGCTGTGCAATGCTGGTGCTACTTTTCAAAGGTTTATCGCTGAAGTCATTCATGGGCTGTCAGGTGTTTATGTTTTTAGACGATATTCTTATAGTGTCAAAAGATCTAGATAAGCATTTCAAGCGTTTAGAAACTTTACTCTATAGGCGAGGAATATGTTTTTTAGCAGTTTTTAGAAAT